TACACAATACTCTGGCTGGTACAACTACTAACTAGTACACAATACCCTGGCTGGTACAACTGCTAACTAGTACACAATACTCTGGCTGGTACAACTACTAAACAGTACACAATACCCTGGCTGGTACAACTACTAACTGGTACACAATACCCTGGCTGGTACAACTACTAACAAGTACACAATACCCTGGCTGGTACAACTACTAACTAGTACACAATACCCTGCCTGGTACAACTATTAACTAGTACACAATACCCTGGCTGGTACAACTACTATCTAGTACACAATACCCTGCCTGGTACACTACTAACTAGTACACAGTACTTTGACTGGTACAACTACTAAATAGTACACAATACCCTGCCTGGTACACCTACTAACTAGTATACAATACCCTGGCTCGTACAACTACTAATTGGAACACAATACCCGGGCTGGTACAACTACTAGCTAGTACACAATACCTTGGCTTGTACAACTACTAACTAGTGCACTATACCCTGGCTGGTACAACTACTAACTAGTACACTATACCCTGGCTGGTACAACTACTAACTAGTACACAATACCCTGGCTGGTACAACTACTAACTAGTACACAATACCCTCGCTGGTACAATTACTAACTAGTATACAATACCCTGGCTGGTACAACTACTAACTAGTATACAATACCTGGCTGGTGCAACTACTAACTAGTACGCAATACCCAGGCTGGTACAACTAATAACTAGTACACAATACCCTGGCTGGTACAAAAACTAACTAGTACACAGTACTCTGGCTGGTACAACTACTAACTAGTACACAATACCCTGGCTGGTACAACTACTAACTAGTACACAATATTCTGGCTGGTACAACTACTAACTAGTACACAATACTCTGGCTGGTACAACTACTAACTAGTACACAATACCCTGGCTGGTACATCTACTAACTATTATACAATACCCTGGCTGGTACATCTACTATCTAGTACACAATACCCTGGCTGGTACAACTACTAACTTGTATACAATACCCTTGCTGGTACAACTACAAACTAGTATACAATACCCCGGCTGGTACAACTAACTAGCACACAATACCCTGGCTAGTACAACTACTAGCTAGTTCACAATACCCAGGCTGGTACAACTACTAACTAGTACTCAATGCCCTGGCTGATACAACTGCTAACAAGTACACAATACCCTGGCTGGAACAACTATTAACTAGTACACAATACCCTGGCAGGTATAACTACCAACTAGTACCCAATACCCTGGCTGGTATAACTACTAACTAGTACACAATATCTTGGCTGGTACAACTCCTAACTAGTACACAATACCCTGGCTGGTACAACTACTAACTAGTACACAATACACTGGCTGGTACAACTACTAACTAGTACACAATAGCCTGGCTGGTACAACTACTAACTAGTACACAATACCCTGACTGGTACAACTACTAACTAGTACACAATACCCTGGCTGGTACAACTACTAACTAGTACGCAATACCCTGGCTGGTACAACTACTAACTAGTGCACAATACCCTAGCTGGTACAACTAACTAGTACACAATACCCTGGCTGGTACAACTAACTAGTACACAGTACCCTGGCTGGTACAACTAACTAGTACACAATACCCTGGCTGGAACAACTACTAACTAGTATACAATACCGTGGCTGGTGCAACTACTAACTAGTACACAATACCCTGGCTGGTAGAACTACTAACTAGTTTACAATACCCTGCTGGTACAACTACTAACTAGTACACAATACCCTGGCTGGTACAACTACTAACTAGTACACAATACCCTGGCTGGTACAATTACTAACTAGTATACAATACTCTGGCTGGTACAACTACTAACTAGTACACAATACCCTGGCTGGTACAAGTAACTAGTACACAATACCCTGGCTGGTACAACTACTAACTAGTACACAATACCCTGGCTGGTACAACTACTAACTAGTACACAATATCTTCGCTGGAACAACTACTAACTAGTACAAAATACCCTGGCTGGAACAACTACTTGGATCCAATACCCTGGCTGGAACAACTACTGACTAGTACACAATACCCTTTCTGGAACAACTACTATTTAGTACACATTACCGTGGCTGGTACAACTACTAACTAGTACACAATGCCCTGGCTGGAACAATTACTAACTAGTACACAATACCTTGGCTGGTACAACTACTAATTAGTACACAATACCCTGGCTGGTACAACTACTATTATACAATGCCCTGGCTGGTACAACTACTAACTAGTACACAATACCCTGGTTGGAACAATTGTTAACTAGAACAAATACCGTGAGTGGAACTACTGTTAACTGGTGCTCAATACCGTGACTGGAACAATTCACAACTAACTCTGGAACTTCAGACGATGTTTCGGTCCTTGCTGAGCCATTATCTAGGCAAGACTTGATGACGGTCCAGCACAGACCGAAACGTCATTTGACGTCACCCTTAATGATCGTCAGTGAGTTGTAACCTGCAGCGCGAGTGAGCGAAAGTCTGAGAGGTCGAATTTTATCTGTTAGGTCCTAGACCCTTCTGCCAGACCTTAGTAGTGGTCTTAGTTCATGGGGGGGGGGAGAAACAGGATGAAGTTAGGTGTGATCCGAGGCAGGAGAGAGCAGCTCCACACACACATCAAAATAAACGTTGTCATAGATAATATTAACGAATTAAAACGGAATTCAGGGATTGGATTTGAACAGTGAACAATGATGAACATCAATGAACAATGATGAACAATGACGAACGACAGTGAACAATTACAAACAGAGCTTCGGAAAAAAATCATTCATAAAATGTTCATTATGATCGCTAGTGAACTCTGGTGAACAATAAGAATTTGTTGAAGGGTAAACTGATGCGCTTAACAAGAGACTAAAAGTGAACAAATAACAAAGAACTTAAATTATGTTCAAAAAACTTTTAAGCTCTTTTGATCCCCGAAGTTGCTATTGTACCATTGTTCATCACTGACTGTTGTTTTTGTTCCCGCTGTTGTTGGTTTTTGTTCACATTCCTGTTACTTTTTGTTCCTACTCCTGTTGTTTTTTTTCCACTCCTGTTGTTTTGTTCCCACTCCTGTTGCTTCTTTCATACTCCTGTTGTTTTGTTCCTACGTCTGTTATTTTACTCACTCGCCTGTTGCTTTGCTTAAATATCTGTTATTTTTTCCCGTTTGTTCTTTGAGTCTGTTTTGTTTTCTTCCAACACCTGTTGATTAGTTCCCACACCTGTTGATTAGTTCCCACACCTGTTGATTAGTTACCACACCTGTTGATTAGTTACCACACCTGTTGATTAGTTACCACACCTGTTGATTAGTTCCCACACCTGTTGATTAGTTACCACACCTGTTGATTAGTTACCACACCTGTTGATTAGTTACCACACCTGTTGATTAGTTCCCACACCTGTTGATTAGTTACCACGCCTGTTGATTAGTTCCCACATCTGTTGATTAGTTCCCACGCCTGTTGATTAGTTCCCACACCTGTTGATAAGTTCCCACACCTGTTGATTATTCACCACTTCTGCTAATTTATTACGACACCTGTTGTTCTGTTCCCACACCTGTTGCTGTGTTCTCAAGTATGCTGTTCTGTTCCACGCTCGTATTTATTCTAACAGTAACATTTAATAATAATAATAATAATAATAATAATAATAATAATAATAATAATAATAATAATAGTAATAATAATAATAATAATAATAATTTTTATTTAGGTTAATTAGGTTAATTACATATGCCTTTACAGAGAACACTAATCATATATTTAAACAATGTCTGTACTAAGGACATAATTAAATATTCCCGGGGAGGGGATACCTGGTGCGGATACTTCAGTATTATACTTTTCAGGTATCCCGGGGAAGAGGGTTACCTATTGTGGTTATTTGAGTATTTGTGATTACCTTGGTATTGTGGTTGCCCGGGTATTGTGGTTACCTGGGTATTGTGGTTACCTGGGTATTGTGGATACCTGGGTATTGTTGATGCCTACTGTACTGTGGTTACATGGGTATTGTGGATACCTGGGTATTGTGGATACTTAGGTATTGTGATTACGTAGGTATTGTGAGTACTTGGGTATTGTGGATACCTACTGTACTGTGATTACCTCGGTATTGTGGTTACTTGGGTATTGTGGGTACCAAAGTATTGTGGATACCTACTGTATTGTGGTTACCTGGGTAACCACAAAATTCACTATACCTTCTCTGAGCATACACGATGTTCTCTGTGTTATCAAATCAAACTATACTGTAGGTTTTGTTTTCTGTTTTGACACTGTGTTAATGATTTCTTGTATTTATAGGTATCCAGAACTAAAACCTTCAATATAATATAATATAATTTCTCTTAAATTATATTAGACAGTCTTGGCAAGTGCGTTGATGTTTCAGGCCAACTTACACACACACACACACACACACACACACAAGCATCAACAACTTACACACACACACACACACGCATCAACAACTTACACACACACACACACGCATGAACAACTTACACACACACACACAAGCATCAACAACTTACACACACGCTAACATACTACAATAAAAGTAATGCAGCTTAACTCACAACTTTTTCTATCAAAATTTTGATATGTTGTGAGTGAAAGTAGTAATTGAAGGGCTGTGTGATGCGTCAGTCGCTCGTAAAGAGCCAGAAATACATCTGGTTGTTATGTTTATACGGCTGTGTTAAATTGTGCGGTTTTAACGTAGATTAACCCATCAAAATCAGCGTGACTTAGTTCTATTGAACGTCCTTTATTGTCTCATGAACGTACACATGAAGTATATGTAGCCGTTTTGTTTTGGACAGATACATGCACTGACAAGCTTGGACAAGTAGTTGTGCTGAATTCAACATCTATGTACACCGAAGCTTCATATTCTGTAAACCAAGATAAGAATGGAAGGAAACACTTCTGGTTGAACTTAC